TGGAACTATAATTTAGTGATTTGTACAAATCACTTAGCCTTTTAATGTTGCCTAGGAATTTCTTTTTCCTGCTTATCTTCACTTTTCCTTTCATCATTTTTCTACAATGCCTTAGCATATTGTAGCTCTGAACACTTTATGTATAGGACCTATCTTAAGAGTTCTGCTTCTTTCAGTTTAAGAAAGTAGAAGTACTAATTTTCCAATTCCTTAGATTGTTTCCTTCAAATCTGTTGATTTATTGTGAATTTATAACTGTTCTTTTACTGGTATAACACTTGGGGTATGTTATTAAAAGTCTTTTTCTCAACCTTAAAGTATGGATAATTGTACCACCATAGGATATGGTATGAATTCAATGAGATAATTCAATGTTAAAACGATTTTGTGTAATACCACCAAAATGTCACTTTATCAATTATATACTATTATATAGTATATACTATATATATTATCAATTATTATAAACTTTAGTATGTAATTATAACTTATTTAATATTTTTCTGTTAGTCCTAAAGGCTAATGCTTTTCTTTCCCTTCACCTCCCCACTCTGATTCATTTGGCAAAGTATAATAACACGACATCAACTTCAGTGCCAGGTTAGCAGTTGAGGGTACAGTGATGAACAAGGCTGATATACTGAACAGGACAAACTCAAAACACGTAGATGCAACAAAGTGTAAAGAGAGTGATCATAAAAGAAATACAAAGTGTTTTAAAACAGTGCAGAGGCACATTAAACTAGGTTGGGGGGCTCAGGCGTGGGGCTTTCTCTGGAGAAAAATGACCATTTTTAGTTGAAGATCGAAAGACAAAGAGTAGATATTAGTGAGGCATGAGTGTTAAGAGGAGGACTGTTCAAAACTCATTGCTATCATTTCTTCCCTGCTGGATCTTCAGCATCTTCTTCTATGTGCTCTTCTTTTTTTTGTCAATACTGGAACTTGAACTCAGGGTCTATACCTTGAGCCACTCTACAGCCCTTTTTTCTGATTGAGTCCGTTCATGATAGGGTCTTGCAACTATTTGCCTTGGGCTGGCTTTTGGAACTGTGTTTCTTCCTGATCTTACCTCCTGATTAGCTTAGGGATTATGGGCGGTAGCCACGGCCACCTGGCAGCGATTGCTCATTGTCTTTTCCTGTACTCTTTCCCTGAGTTTCAACATTCTCCTTTTCTGCTTACTGGCTGGTTCTCTCTCTTCTTCTTCACATATCAATTTTATTAGAAAGGAATTTCCATTACTTTAGTTTCCCGTTGATTCCAATCAATTACTCACTTCTCAGTCTCCTGGAGTCTGGGTTTACTCTTACCATTCCACTGAGATTACTTTCACTAAAGTCACTAATAACATAGTTTTCCAAATCACTGAACACCTTTCAATGCCTGTCTTACCTGACCCTACTCAGCATTTGATTCTGTCTCCTCTAGAACCACTTTGCTTGCTTTAACTTCTGTAACTCTACTTTTGGTACTCTTCCCTTTTTTTTCATGATTTTTATTGTTTTATTATTCATATGTGCATACAATGCTTGGGTCACTTCTCCCCCCTGCCCCCACCACCTCCTTTACCACCCACTCTGCCCCCTCCCTCTCCCAATACCCCCTCAATACCCAGCAGAAACTATTTTGCCCTTATTTCTAATTTTGTTGTAGAGAGAGTATAAGCCATAATAGAAAGGAACAAGGGTTTTTGCTGGTTGAGATAAGGATAGCTCTTTACAGGGAGTTTGACTTCACATTGATTTCCTGTGCGTATGTTGTGTTACCTTCTAGGTTAATTCTTTTTGATCTCACCTTTTTCTCTAGTTCCTGGTTCCCCTTTCTCCTATTGGCCTCAGTTGCTTTTAGGGTATCTGCTTTGAGTTTCTCTGCATTGAGGGCAACAAAAAATGCTAGCTAATTTTTTAGTGTCTACCTATCTTCTATTTCCTTGTGTGCTCTCGCTTTTTATCATGTCCTCAATGTCAATCCCCTTGTTGTTTGCCCTTGATCTAATGTCCACATATGAGAGAGAACATACGATTTTTGGTTCTTTTGGCCAGGCTAACCTCACTCAGATGATGTTTCCAATTCATCCATTTACCAGCGAATGATAACATTTGTTCTTTTTCATGGCTGCATAAAATTCCATTGTGTATAGATACCACGTTTTCTTGATCCATTTGTCAGTAGTGGGGCACCTTGGCTGTTTCCATAACTGGCTATTGTGAATAGTGCACAATAAACATGGGTGTGCCAGGTGCCTCTGGAGTAACCTGTGTCACAGTCTTTTGGGTATATCCCCAAGAGTGGTATTGCTGGATCAAATGGTAGATCAATGTTTAGCTTTTTAAGTAGCCTCCAAATTTTTTCCAGAGAGGTTTTACTAGTTACATTCCTACCAACAGTGTAAGAGGGTCCTTTTCCCCGCATCCTACCAACCTGTTGTTCGGTGGTGTTGCTAATGATGGCTATCTAACAGGGGTGAGGTGGAATCTTAGTGTGGTTTTCATTGTATTTCCTTTATTGCTAGAGATGGTGAGCATTTTTTCATGTTTTTTTGGCCATTTGAATTTCTTCTTTTGAGAAAGTTCTGTTTAGTTCACTTGCCCATTTCTTTCTATTGGTTCATTAGTTTTGGGAGAATTTAGTTTTTTAAGTTCCCTATATATTCTGGTTATCAGTCCTTTGTCTGATGTGTAGCTGGTAAATATTTTTCTCCACTCTGTGGGTGTTCTCTTCAGTTTAGGACCATTTCTTTTGATGAACAGAAGCTTTTTGCTTCATGAGGTCCCATTTATCATGCTATCTCTTAGTTGATGTGCTGCTGGGGTTCTATTTAGAAAGTTCTTACCTATACCTATTAACTCCAGAGTATTTCCTACTCTTTCCTGTATCAACTTTAGAGTTTGTGGTCTGATATTAAGATCCTTGACATTTTGAGTTAATATTGGTATAGGGTATATACATGGATCTAGTTTCAGATTTTTTGCAGACTGCTAACAGTTTTCCCAGCAGTTTTTGTGAAGAGGCTGCTTTTCTCCATCATATATTTTTAGCTCCTGTCAAAGACAAGTTGGTTGTAGTTGTGTGGCTTCATATCTGGTTCCTATATTCTGCTCCACTGGTCTTCATGCCTGTTTTTGTGCCAGTACCATTCTGTTTTTATTGTTATTGCTTTGTAATATAGTTTGAAGTCGGGTATCATGATACCTCCAGCATTGTTCTTTTGACTGAGTATTGCTTTGGCTATTCGTGGCCTCTTGTGTTTCCATATAAATTTAACAGTAGATTTTTCAATCTCTTTAATGAATGTCATTGGAATTTTGATGGGAATTGCATTAAACATGTAGATTACTTTTGGGAGTATCGACATTTTTACTATGTTGATTCTACCAATCCATGAGCATGGGAGATCTCTCCACTTTCTATACTCTTCCTCAATCTCTTTCTTCAGAAGTTTATAGTTTTCCTTGTAGAGGTCGTTCACATCTCTTTTTAGGTTTACACCTAGGTATTTGATTCTTTTGAGGCTATTGTAAATGGAATTGTTTTCATACATTCTTTTTCAGTTTGCTCATTGTTAGTGTATAGAAATGCTAATGATTTTTCTATCTTGATCTTATATCCTGCTACCTTGCTGTAGCTATTGATGGTGTCTAGGAGCTTTTGAGTAGAGTTTTTTGGGTCTTTAAGGTATAGGATCATGTCATCTGCAAATAGGGATAGTTTGACAGTTTCTTTACCTATTTGTATTCCTTTTATTCCTTCTTCTTGCCTAATTGCTCTGGCTAGGAATTCCAGTA